TTTGAAATATTTCAAACTTCTGAGAACCGAATATAAATTTCTGATTTTACAGATGTCTCTGTCATATTTTATAAAAATACAGATAATTCAGTTGAGCTAATTTTCATAACTATATGAAATAACATGAGGGAGATCAGAGGTCCCTAACCTTTCTGGCTTGGTGGACCGGGGTTGTGGGGGAAGGTGTCCCTCACCTGCCGCTTGCGTGGCCCAGTTCCAAATGGGCACAGCCCAGTAGTGGGCCACAGCCCAGGGGTTGGGATCCCTGAGGTAGATGGCATCCTATATCACAGAAGAAATACCTGGATAATTTATGCTACATGTTACTAAAACTACTATTTGGGAATACATTAATAATAGCTTATATTGGTACCAGGTTCCGCCCCAGGCGCCTGATGGATCCTGATAGGTTCCAGAGGGAGCTTGGGCCATTTCCTGAGACCCTAGCTCACGACTCGGCTGAAGACCTGGTGGCTGCCTGGGATAGTGCAGCCACCGGGGCTCTGGACCGTGTCGTGCCTTTGTGGCCTCTGACCCGGCACTGAACTCACTTAGCTCCTTGGTTCTCCGAGGAGCTGAGGGAGATGAAGCGCCGGAAAAGACGCCTAGAGAGCGGTTGGAGGGCCAGCCGATCCGAATCTGACTTGACACTGGTAAGGTCTCATATTAAGACCTACCTAGTGGCGATAAAAGCGGCAAAATCTAATTATTGTGCCGCTCTTATCGCGTTATCAGATACTCACCCAGCCGCCCTGTTTAGGGTGACCCGCTCCCTCCTCCATCTGGGAGCGCGGGATGACCCCTTGCAGGGCCGAGCTGAGGATTTTGTACAGTATCTGTATGATAAAATAACTCAAGATTCGGGAAGACTTGGCTGCTGACTGGGTTAGTCCAGACGAGATGATTGAGGCAGGCCTTGAGAGTGTTATCTGGGAGGAGTTCGATCCTGTGGCTCCCGAGGACGTGGACAGGATCTTGGGACGGCTAAACGCGACCACATGTTTATTGGACCCGTGTCCCTCCTGGTTGGTGCTGGCTTCCCGGGAGGTTACACGAGGCCGGCTCCAGGGGATTATTAACGCTTCTTTGAGTGAGGGTGTCCTGCCGGCCGCTTTGAAAGAGGCGGTTGTGAGGCCCCTCCTCAAAAAGCCCTCCCTGGATCCTGCTGTTTTGGCTAACTATCGTCCAGTCTCCAATCTTCGCTTTATTGCGAAGGTTGTTGAGAGTGTGGTGGCGCGACAGCTTCCCCAGTACCTGGATGAAGCTGTCTATTTGGATCCGCTCCAATCCGGTTTCAGGCCTCGGTACAGCACGGAAACGGCATTGGTCGCCGTTGGTGGATGATCTCTGGAGGGCTCGGGGTAGGGGTTATTCCTCTATCCTGGTCCTGTTAGATCTCTCAGCGGCTTTTGATACCATCGACCATGGTATCATGTTGCGCCGGCTGGAGGGACTGGGAGTGGGGGGCACCGTTTTGCGGTGGTTCTCCTCCTATCTCTCCGTCCGGTCGCAATCTGTGTTGACAGGGGGGCAGCGGTCGATCCCGAGGCGCCTTGTTTGTGGGGTGCCACAAGGGTCGATCCTCTCGCCCCTCCTGTTCAACATTTATGTGAAGCCGCTGGGTGAGATCATCCATGGTTTTGGGGTGGAGTTCCATCAGTACGCTGATGATACTCAGCTGTACATCTCCACCTCAGACAATCCCAACGATGCCTTGGAAGTGATGTCCCAGTGTTTGGAAGCCGTGTGGGTCTGGATGGGGAGAAACAGGCTCCGACTCAACCCTTCCAAGACCGAGTGGCTGTGGCTGCCGGCGTCCCGGTATAGCCAGCTGGCACCATCGCTGGTTATTGGGGGCGAATCATTGGCCCCCACGGAAAGGGCTCGCAACTTGGGTGTCCTCCTGGACGCACGGCTGTCTTTAGAAGGGCATACGACGGCCGTGGCCAGGGGGGCCTTCTATCAGGTCCGCCTGATACGCCAGTTGTGCCCCTTTCTGGATCGGGACTACGCACAGTCACTCAGGCACTCGTCACCTCTCATCTGGACTATTGTAACGCTCTCTACATGGGGCTCCCCTTGGAGGCTCCAACTGGTGCAGAATGCGGCCGCGCGGGGGATTATGGGAGCGACGGGGTGCTCCCATGTGACTCCTCTCCTGCGCGAGCTACATTGGCTCCCGGTGGACTTCCGGGTGCGCTTCAAGGTGTTGGTGATCACCTTTAAAGTGCTCCATGGCTTAGGGCCGGGGTATCTACGGGACCGCCTCCTGCCACCAATTGCCTCCCACCGGCCAGTTCGCTCCCACAGAGAGGGCCTCCTCAGGGTGCCGTCGGCCAGGCAATGTCGGCTGGTGACCCCCAGGGGGAGAGCCTTCTCTGTGGTAGCACCCACCCTCTGGAACAATCTACCCCCAGAGATACGAGTGATCCCAGACCTCCGGACTTTTCGTCGGGCTCTCAAAACCTATTTTTTTCAGTTAGCCGGGCTGTCCTGATTTTATGATTGGTTTTAAATAATTTTGATATGGTTTTAATTGGAATGTTTTAAATTAATGGGCCAAATTTATTTAATTATTTTAAATTTATTTTAACTTTTGTATATAAAATGTTTTATTTTTTGGCTGTTCACCGCCCTGAGTCCGAAAGGAGAAGGGCGGTATAGACATTTGAATAAAGATAAAGATAAAGATAAAGATAAAGATAAAGGTTGCTCCAGAACTGAGCACTCATTCTCAATTTTTTTAAAATATAGACATAAACAGCTGTGTGTGTTCACTTCTTCTATTTCAGCCTCTCCATATTTTTTTCTCAACTAGCAGTGGCAGATGTCACTTGTCTTATTATATATGATAGTCTGGTTCCTAAAGCTAGAGCAAGACATTAAAAATCAATGGGGGCCTCTCATGCTTTTATTGCAGTCACATTGTGGAATGCATTGTGAGAAATTCTAGGCCACTTTAATCACTGAAATCAAGTTTATTTTTCCACTTTAAAAGGTGCATGTTAATAAAATATTTATGTTGAGACTTCCGGTAGCGACTTCACAGCAAAGTGGACTGGAGAAACTAGGCTCCGTTATTCCCACCCAATTTCGCCCGTCAGGAAACCTTTAAAGGTCAAAATGAACCGCGGAGGGGTTGACAAAGATAGAGGGGAAGCCCCGAAGACTACCTGGAGAAAGGCAATCTATCCTTAGAACAAGGGGAAATTCCTTGAAGCTGTATAAATTGTATAGGGCGATTAGAAGGGAAGATTACATTGTATGTATTATTTTCATATTATGAGAAAAATGGTTATAATTATGGTGTGTATAAAACTGTGTATTTAAAAGAGATGTGATACAGAAAGTACGCTGCTGTCGCAGAAATGGAAACGTTATGTATAACAAAGGAAAATGCATAATAAAAACAATTTTTTTAAAAAATACAATATTTATGTTAAACTTCCTATGAGATCTAGTGGGGTGATAGGTAGAGTAGCATCTGCAGAAATTTGTAGAACTCATAGAAAACATAAAAAGCATTTCTTGTGTTAGTAAAAGGGAAACTCCTCTTGATTTTCTTTGTGATACCTTTTAACATAGTTTTTTCGTATTATCTTGGTTGTTCCTAATAAAGACATTACTCAACTATGTATTTCAATTCCATGTAATTTTTGTGGATTTGCATATGTAAAGGATGACTGGCAGTGGAAACTACTACTTTTATACTCCTTTACAGGAAATGAAATTAAGGAATGTCATTCCTATTGAGATACATTTTTCTGACTCTATCAAGTTGTCACTGTTTGAGGTGCCTATGTCATATCTTCACATTTTGCAAAGAAAAGAGATGACTAGGAACAGAATGAAAATCCCCATGTTATGCTAAATCAAAATTTCAGTGTGTTAAGAGTTTCTGAATTAGAGATGTGTATTTCAAGCCATTAAATTTTAATTCTAAGCATTTCTATATGGGTCCAATTCCATTCTCTAATTATTCCAAGCTGTTTTGAAGCCAACTATGAGCATCCTGACACATGCTGACTTGGTAGCTTAACACAATTACTCAGATCACCATGAACCTATCAACACATTCCACCAACCAACAGTAGAGCACAAAGTAAATTATCATAAAACACCAAGATTAAAATCCCATAACAAGGTGGTGGGATTAAAATCATTAATATCATCCAATCCTCTACCCACATTTTCAGATGAGGTGCATATTAATGTTCAGCTGAAAGAGGCTCATCCATAAGTCTTGGCAAAATAAATACAAAACAAACCAATACATTCATTTTTGCTCTGGTTTCAAATAAGCCCTTATTGAACTAGAAATATAGTCAATTCAGTCTGAGTATCCATGGCGGGGAGGCAAAACATATGTGACTGCCATATATGTGTCTCACCTGCGGATGCAACTACAGTATTTTAGCACATTCACTAGCATTTGGGCATTGCTGCAATTAGCAGTGGATGCGGCTTCAATTCAACCCCAGAAGTGACTGCCATTTATGTGAATGGTCAGTTTGGGGACTATTTCTGGACTAGCACAAAGATGTTATATGGAGTTGTCCACAGTTATTCCTCCCTTGAAAATTTCACATCTCCCTGTGCAGAAATTACTTGCTTAAAACATGGTCACAATTTACAAGATTAACTGAAAAAAATCAATATACGATATTTTAAAGTGCACTTCAAATATCATTCCACAGGTGGAGCTGCTACAAAATTAATAGTAAAATTATCCACTTCATTGAAAATACAGGGGAAAACAACTAATGGTGACTTTCTTATATACATTACACTCAAAGTAGGAATATTATTCTGTCCAAGGGCTTCAAGATATGTTGCCTCTTCAAGGCAATTAATCTTCCTGTTCCCCATGGCTAAATGCCTGATCACATTATAAAAGAGAACAGATATCATTTACCAGCAATGTTCAGCTCATCTTTCCTTCCCCCCTTCTCTTGAAACCTAATCTATGAGAAGTTAGCAGAAAGATCGTAAGTTATTTTCTGCCGATGAATGAAAATCACTTGGACAAGTATTTTTTAAGAAATGAATCATCCTTTGTAAAATTGCAGTACGCTACAGGTATGGTTTTTTGTGGAGATTAGAATGGTTTTGTGAGATAAAATTGTTATAACATTGGTAAAGCTAATTAAATATCTCAAATATGCTTAATAGATTGACCACCAATTCAATTTCAATGCTATTAAACCATGGTTTAGTTTTGAATAAACCTACCCAAAATTAGGGAATAAAATGTGAAAATGGTGAAACCCGATTCTCAGATTAGTTTTTATTTTTTATAACAAATGTAGGGAAAGAGGGAGAAAATTGGTCAGAACTTAGATAATTTAGGTCTCATACTGAAATCATAGAGGTGTCTTGCTATCTTAGCCAGCTAAAAGCAAGAGTGGTTTTAATTCTTCCCAGTCTCTTTTTGTTGTTATATGCAGCTTCTGCAATCGTTTTTAACATATCTCCAGCTGTTGCTATCTCATAGCAAATTTGTATGAGTACGGGAGTAGCAAACTGACAGATTTGTCATTCAGGGAGAGGATCTGTAGATTAATTGAAATGCTTTATCTGAATCTGTTTATCATGCTTGCAGTCTGAAAGAGTCTTTTTGGGCAGTATTTCAGCTGTAATACTTACAAAGTAGCCAATTTCAATATGGTCCTTTCTATTTTGGAAAATAACCACTTTCATTATATTATTTCCAACAGAGATGGGTAAGATCTTATTTTATTTTCTTTAAAAGATTGATCAAACATTGCAATTTCTTCAGAAGGAATTAATATGTCTGACAGAAAATGCAACTGCCAAATTTATCAGTCTTCACCAGAGAACCAACTACCTGCCACAGAAGCTTTTGGTTACCCCCAGGCTACATTATGAATTCAAAACACTGAAATAGCTCCACTCAAAGGTCATGTGGAAACTAGCTTTTATACTTAGTGGAAACTAAGTTTTTATACTGTTTCAATACCATTTGTTTTACCGATCCGTTTAGTGTGAGAGAGTCTTCCGTAAAGGATATTACCTGCCTAATCTTAGAGCCCCCGTTTGTAATAAAGAACAAAAACATTCAAGGCAGCAAATGCCTTCATGAAGTTAAGCTTGCTGAAGAATGACTTAGTGGTTCAGACTGTTGGCATCAAATCCTCAGATGAAATAACTCTCATGTCCTTTGAAAAAAAAGCCTTAAAAAAAAAACCTAGGCATTTCAGACAGCAAGCACAGCGACTACATGTGTTTCCTTACAGAACACTCTGATCTTCCACACTGGCATAGCAAGAGTTCAGATCCCAGATGGGGAATTATTGCAGCTGATTGAGTTTCCAACTCCCAAGCACATGTCTTGAAGTTTTTCTTCAACTTGGCTGGAGGGAAGGGCAGCCATGCTTTTCAATTTGCCTGCAATGCAGTACACATAATTAAGGAAGACATGCTCTGGGAAAAGGAGATGGTAAATTTAGAGGAGCTATAAAAGGTTATCTTGGCTTTTGTAATTATACACTTTTTCTAGCCATTCAAAAAACAGCTTTAATTGTAACAGATTAGAAAGGAATTACGTCTGCCTAGAGAATCTGGTCTGCATATAAAATATTATGCGGGTTTTGAATAGCTTAAAAACAAGGACCACTGTCTTCCCAGAATGCCTCTAGGAAATTAAACAAAGCCAACCTAATTACTTTAATGTAAATAACCTTTTGTACACACATACCCATCACTCTTTCAGAGTAAGCAGTGTTATATAGATCATAAGAAATAATGTGCCAAAGAATTCAGAGGTATGAGGGAAGAAAAAAGTAAATCTTGTTTACATAAAACCATTTTTCTTGCAAACCATCTTTGTTTCCACCACATCCATATACTGCTTCATACTCTGCCGCTTGAAATTCAGACTGTTTATCTTGGTCTTTATGAGAATCTTACCAATTCCTCTTCATCTTGAGTCATTCTTCTTTCATGCATTTAACTTAGTTTTTTTCTATTTACACTATCTTAATATAAACCTCTTTGAGTCATGTAAAATAGATATGATTTTTTGTATATGCATATAAACCAACAAATACCGTGATTCAATCTTCATTAATTCTCCCTTTAAGATCGTAATAGAGTTTACTCCTATTGATCACTGATTTTTGTATTCAGTTCACATGCATTGAGCACACATTCACACTTCAAAACAACCTTCTTTTAAATACCCATTTCACCTGCACTGAACTCACATGCTTCTCCGGATATACACAACTCTTTATTTTCAAATACCAAAGCGGGTAGAGGTATGCTGTTATAGAAAACTCCTGTTTCTTTCAACAAATATTCTCCATTTCCCCATCATTAGTAAACATTATACCAAGGCACACAAATTGATGAATTTTCTCTACTTTTTCACCACTTACATATAAATTTCAATTGTTTATTCCATTGTATTTCTGTCAAACAGTTACTGTAGTCTTTGATCTGATTTTCAGATCCAGATTCCTCACTGCATCATATAATCTATCCTACATGAGAAACAAATAATTTGGGTTCTCAAGAAATAACACAGACTCACTCAGCTCTATAAAAAGCACCAAGATCATGGGAAGTGATAGTACTGCTGCATATTGCACTAGTGAGGACGCATTTGGAATATACTGTAGGTAGTCCTCGATTTATAACAGTTCATTTAGTGACCGTTTGAAGTTACACTTTGAAACAAGTGACTTATGACCTTTGCAACATCCCCATGGTCAAAATTCAGATGCCTGGAAACTGACTCATATTTATGACCGCTGCAGTATCTCAAGGTCATGTTTGACCTTCTGACAAGCAAAGTCAATGGAGAAGCTGGATTCACTTAACAACGGTGTTATTAATTGAATAACTGCAGTGATTCACTTAACAACTGTGTCAAGAAAAATCCTAAAATGGGGCAAAACTCACTTAACAAATGTTTCACTTAGCAACATAAATTTTGGGCTCAATTGTGGTCATAAGTCGAGGACTACCTGTACTATGTCCAGTTCTGGTCATCATTATACAAAAAAGATGGTGAGATCCTAGAAAAGAGCGCAGAGAAAAGAAACAAATATGATAAGGAGTCTGGATTATATATGATGAATTATATGATGAATGGCTAAGGGAAATAGGTATGTTTAGCCTAACTAAGAAAAGGTTTAGGGGAGACTTGATAGCTGTCTTCCAATACTTGAAAGGCTATCACAGGGAAGAAGAGGTTGATGTATTCTCCATAGCACCTGAGGGCAGGTCAAGAAGCAATGGGTGGAACCTATTCAGAGGAGATCCAACCTCTTCTGACAGTGGAGGAGGACAAAGGAGGAATTTACTGACAGTGAGAATGATTGCTTGGCTCCTAGAGTTGTGGGTACTCCATTGCTGGAGGTTTTCAAGGAAAGTTTGGACAACCTATTGTCCAGGATGGTATAAGGACTGCTGCCTTGGGCAGGGGTTGAACTAGAAGACTTCCAAGATTTCTTCCAGCCCTTTGATTCTATCTGCATATGCAATCACTAACCAACAGTTCTCTAATGCCACTAGTATTTCAAATATATTTATTCATAAATGTATTGAACAACTAATGGGACATCCCACACTCTTATCTTATCTCCCTGCTCCCTACTTACCTCACTTGTTAAGTATTCTATTTATTCTCCCACATAATTTACTTGTGAGTAAATCTACAACCACCCTTGTCACATCTAGCAAACAAATCTCAGCTCCATAGTTATGCAAAATGTCCAGTAATTAAAGCCTATTCACTTTCTCATGTACTTCCTTAAAATAAGCAAATGTGCAATACAATTTTCTTTCTCACATTCGTACATTTCTCAATGATTTCCCGAGCAGGGAACCCCCCCCCCCCCCCCCCGTTATTGTGCACAGCCCCTGCCTAACATAAAAATGCAGTGCGGTTCACAAATTCTGCTTATTTTCACCTCTTGTACCCTTCAGTCAGAAACTCTGCCAAACACCTTCCCAGACACACTTAACAAGCTAATCTCCTTTCATATAAGAGAACAATAACAGCATTCTTCCAAACATCAGGGACAGATGTGCTCTTCCCACACACGCTAAATAAGTCACACAACCACTTCATAAGCAAGCCACGTCCATATTTTGACATTTCCCATTATATATTCTACACCTGCAGATGTATCGTTTTTCAACATTCTCACAGCATTTATGACTTCCTATTCAACATTTTTTTCCCCTTGGACACTTAACATTAATAGCATTTATTTCAGTTTTATTCTGTGTCATATCACAATACAAATTCTTTGACATATCACAGCATTTGAACTTCATTCCCTTTAGTTTTATCCCAAACCTTTTCAACATTTTTATGTTTTATTAAATTCACTTTCCGGAGGCTCTTCTTTTAGTTCTCTTCATCCACTTCCAGAACAATTTTTTATTTCTTTCAATATTGCTCTGCACTTTCACTTCTCTTCTAATCTTAACTATTCATGAAAAAAACATTTGTGCCCAAAATATTAAAATATATCCTATATATTACTGACATTTTAATTCAACTCCATTGATTTTAATTAGTATCCTTTTTAATAATAGTGATATGTATATGTAAAATATATCTCAAATAATTTATAGTATTTATAAATAGGATAACTGAATAGTTTTAATTGCAAAACCTCATTTCCAGTATTTTAATTGGAATTAAGGACAGCTCTTGCCATTGCTGAATAGTATTTTGTACCTAAAGTTTCCTAAAATGAATACAGGTATGTATTCCTCCTTTAGTGATCACAACTAGAACCAGCAACTTGGTCATTACAAGCAAAGTGGTCACTAAGTGAAACCGCAGCTGTGCTTACAATCTTATTTCAGCTTTCCTTCACTTTAAAGACATGCAAAGGTCGCAAACGTGGGCAGTGGTCACAAAGTTATTTTTCCATCACTGCCATAATATCACATATGTATTTCCTGCAGTAAACATGCAATGTGTAAATCTGCTTTCAGTAGGTTCAGTATGTTACTTCAGGAATGTATGTCAGGGCATAATTCAAAATCTTTATTCAAATTTAAAGTTATGACTTAGGAAGAAAATTTCTGCTGAG